CCCTGTAACATAAGTATTTTATTCCATCCAAGTTGATATTAATTGCTGTTGGTTAAGAGAATGTTGATAACCGCTATAAGTGGCCAGTTTTGGTGACAGATTCTCTTAATTTATCAAATGCAAAATAACGAAAAGTGATTCCAATAATACTAAAGTTAATTTACTAATCAAGTTACTTTTAGATTTTTTTAAATTTGATCTGATTTAGGAGTAAAGAAATAAAATGATGGGTGGCGCTCTTAGATATAACTATAACTATTTATGTTATTTTGCAATACCTGTAAAGGTTGTTAAGTATTTAGCACTATGTATAAAGTACTTAATTACCTTGTGTTAAGTTAGTAAAGTTATGCCTTGTAAACAATTTGACATTTTAAAAGATAAACTTCCTGTAACCCACAGGAAGTTTATCTTGCGCCATTTCTTCCCATACATATATGTTCCTTCCGAATCAGTGGTAGTTTTAGTTGGTAGTGTCTCGAACAAATCGGTGATCGGTTCCGCTATTGTATTTGTTGATCACTGAAACATCTCTGAATATGTGCCTTTTATCCATGATGAAGTCAATCTCGTTTTTCGCAATGTTATCGGGACTACGCCAGGTCCACTTCATTTGGGATTTCTTCTCGAAAAACGAATTCACCAGAAATAGTCCCTCTTTGATAAATGATTCTTTATAATTTGGTATGTTTTATTTAATCTTGTGCTGCCTTCCACTCTTTTATATATGTACTTTGAACATAAATAAAAAACAAACAATAACAATAAAATAGTAGTAAACTACAGCATTACTCATCGTGATGACGTCACTGTCACGACTGGACCACAGAGTACTTTTTTAGGGACTGGACGACAACGGCATAGCTGACCTTCCTTTTTGAAACTTTCTTAGAGATGTAGCCATGTCGCACGTTGTGTATCGATTTCGAAATCGATCAAACGAAAATATTCAGAGATCGACTCAAAATATTTTATGTGTCGGGGGAGGCGTAGGCCAAGTAAAGCACAGAAGAAAAGTCTTGCGCTCTTATGACAAATGGGGGTTTGATATGATGCTGATGCTACCAGATGATTTTGAGATTGAGAAAGAAAATCGCACAACACAAAATGAAAAATTGCTCTTCAAGTGTTGAGGTTAAGGGGGAATATAACCTCAAATGGCTTAGCAAGTTCCTCTGTTATACCGAAAATATTGCGTCTTAAAACTTGTTTTCGAAAACATGATTCCGTAAAATTTTCTCGACAGAAAAAAAAATCCAAACTTACCTGCAAACTCAACAATAAACCACTGTTATTCATAAAATACATTAAATAAGATCATGAAACTTTGCATACTAACTGAACTAACTATAAAGCAGGGCTTATGTTTTTTATTTTTTTTAAATTACCATTATTTTCACTGTAAAAAGAAATTACCTAAACTATCGGCGTCCTGAAACTCCCAGGTCCCAGGGCGGCAGGAAACAATGGTGCTTTGAATTAATGAAACCCTACGTGTTGAAACAACTACATTAGTTTATTTAAGTTATTTCCATAGCAAAGCGACTTTGAGCTTCCTCATACGGCCAACAGTGAAGGACCACGTCTCGGATCCATAGGTCATCACAGGCAATACACACTGGTTGTACAATCTAGTTTTGAGGTATGCCTGACGAGAAGACCGAGATTCGGCTGCAGAGGGTAGAGAGACCGGCACCTCGCAATACCGACACTCCTTTTCCCTTCCACCACCACCGCATCAATTAACGGTGCGGCGCCGTCAGTCGCGGAGTATATTGCGAATGGCACATCGCCATACCAACAATCTTCTTCCGCGACTCCACCTCGACTGCAGCGGTAGAGGGAGAGGGCACACTTCTCGCCGCAGCTTACCATCACGCATCCGAAGTGGGCTCGCTAACTCCGCTACCTCGGGTCAGCCATGTCAGCCAACCATCTTAGTTCACTGCGGGTGACCAAATCACGTCTACTAAGCCTTCTCGCCACGACAAGGCGGGAACATTTTCGGTGGGAGAGTACGAAACTTATCCAACTGCAGAGAGGTGTAAGACAGGGTGACGCAATATCCCTAAAACTTTTCACCGCTGCATTGTAAGACGTTTTCAAACTACTGGACTGGAAAGGATACGTAATTAACGTCAATGGCGAATACATCACTCACGTTTGATTTGCCGACGATTTAGTCCTAATGGCAGAATCATTGGAGGACCTAAGCACTATACTCAATGACCTCAATAGTGTCTCCCAATATATAGGTCTTAAGATGAACATGGACAAAACTAGTCATGTCTAACATCCATGTCACACCTATGCCGGTAGTTATTGGGAGCACTAAGCTCGAAGTTGTTGACGAGTATGCTTACCTAGGACAAATAGACTATGTAAGTCTAACTTCGAGTGATCAATCGACGGATTCAACTTGGTTGACCTACTCTAACTACTACCTCAAAACTAGATTGTACATCACTGGTTGTACAATCTAGTTATATTATTCAGTGCGTATTGCCAGTTATGACCTATGGATCTGAAACGGTCTCTTATTGCCGGCCGTATGAAGAAGTTTAGTCGCTCAGCGAGCTATGGAGGGCTATGCTCGGGGTTTTTCCGGTTCTTAAGTGGCAGTCCCGTACCGGCAGGCGAAGTGTAGGTCGTCCCCCCAATAGATGAGGTAACGACCTGATAAGACATACAAGAAGTCAAGGGATGCAAGAAGCTCAGGACCGTGCTTTGTGGCGTTTCCTGGGGCAGGCATTTGTTCAGCAGTGGACTTGTTAAAGGCTGTAATGATGATGATGATAATGATAAAAACATTGTGGACTGAGGGACCGCAGTTTAGATATTTGTTTCCTTTATCTTTAAACTTCCTTTATGTCTTGTTAGTTAGTAAATAAGATTTCCAACTATTTACTAAATATCTGTAATCACATTACACTTCATTTTTAAGATACTTTCCTAGACATGACTAATAGACTGGTTAACTGAGGAACCACACTTTAAGGGCTGTAATTTATTATGTATTCTTTTACAAATTCTAGGATTCGTTCTTCAAATTTTTTACGCCTACTACTAAATCCTTAGCAATTCATTTCGCGAATTACCAGTTTAGCCCCTCAGTTCTCATACACATTTATACTCATTAATAAATAAAAATACAGACATATATTTTTTAGCAGACTGCAAAGAGAATTTTACAATTACAGAATTAGGGAATATTCGTTTTCATTAGCATCAAATCAAAATGCTAATAAACATAGAAAACAGATGATGCCAACTTTTATAGGGTCGAAAGAAAATTCACAAAATAGCACCAAAACAATTTATCTGCATTCACAAAATAATTTATCTGAATTGACTCATAAACATTCACAACATTATTTACCGCTAATTATTTTCGATTTCATTTACATTATGTACAATTTTAAATTAAGCACGCCAAAATTGTATAGTGACATAACATACGTCTTCAGCTAGATGGTCAAATTATTCATGTATTAATGAAATTATTTCAACGAGCCGAGTATTTATGGCTGTGCACCTTAACTAAAATACATTAAAAAGTTACACAAAGCAGATAGAATACCTGCTAAACACAATTATTATCACTATCAGAACGCCATTGGCATCAGACATATAGTTAATTACATACCTACATACGTATAGTTACTAGTAAATTCATTCATATTCGTCTTATTGTAATTTAAAAAACAAAAAAAATATTACTCACACAGTACAAAATTTAAGTAAGAAATATAATGTACCAGTAACAAGTATATAATAAAATACGCGACGCCTATCCTCGTACAAAATAAGGTTGACAGCCATTCTATTGTATATTATAGTATTCTATGTAAAATGCAGTAGGTAGATTCGCAAAAGTATCCTGTAGTATACCTGAGTAGTATCGATATTTTCTTAGTTGCTCGATACCTTCCGACAAAGAAACCTAGGTTTCTCTGTCTACGGTAAATATTACTTTTTCCGATGTATAGCGTGTTTTCTCGATGGAGTGAAGATTTCAGGGGAAAACCCTAGTATAGTTTGAATAACGTATGCGAGACCAGGCAAATACATTTATACATTTAGTAGAAGAATCTCGTAATTTTAATGAATTAATTATATATAATGGAATCATAACACAAAATATTTGGATTTAAATGTGCTTTATTTGTCTATTTATGTTATTTAAGTAAAGTCGATATAAGTCGAGTCGGCAGACTTTACTTAAATAACATAAATACATAGTCATACATAATTAGAATGCCAATTCTCAGGCAAGCGACGGGTGGTTCCAGAAATTTAAATCAAGGTATGGAATCGATTGTTAACGGTCACTGGAGAAAAATTGCCTAGTGACACGGCAGCCACGGCTCCATTCGTCGAGAGAAGTTCAAGAAAATAGCAGACGACCTTAATTTAACTCTACATCCAGTTTATGACGCTGATGAAAGTGACCAGTTTTGGATAGTTTTATCTAACCTAAAGGAAAAGTGAGGAACTACTACTATTATGCCCTGCGCAAATGCTAGCGCAGCACGCTTAAGCTTAAGCTACTGTTAATTGGATAAGAATAAAATCCGAGAGCATGAGCATTCAAAAATGTTAATCTTCCACTTGTTCATAAGAATCAAAATAATGCATGGGTAACTATAGAGTTAGTCATAGACTAGTTTCACACTGATTCGGAGATTTTTGAAAAGCAAGAAGCTTCCACCTTTTCACCACCAACAGTCTAGTGTTGGATAATGCACTTGCACACGAACCAAATGATGAATTATCATCAAGGCATAGTATGATCATAACTCTTTTTTTGCCACTTAATATCAACAGCATTTGTATCAGAATGTAATAGATGATAAATTGTAATTACAAAAAGAAACTGTTGTTGAATGCTGTTATCCGGATGGATGATATAACTAAAAAACTGAAGGACATGAACACGTTTAATGTGACCGAATCGTGGAATAACGTACCCAAGAAAGCAATTCAATTGACGTGGAAAATTGTGGCCTTTTCTGAACCAAAATCATGAACAAGAAGACGAGTGGAATCCAGAGCATGAATTACCACTTGCAGAACTCAAACAGATGTTTCAAAATCAACAAACAGAACTGACTGAACATGACCTACAAGGGTGCTTTGCGGAAAACTCGGATTCTCAACCTATAATAACGGATCAAAAAATAATAAATGATGCTGTTTCTAGTCCTGAACAAGAAGATCATTATGTAAAAGTGACCTTCCTTAGCCCCACAAAAAGCTCAGTGAGGACTGAAGATGCCCTAACAGCTATAGACATCAGTATCAGGTGGGCAGAGGAGAAAAAGGGAAATTGAGAGATGATTATGTGAAAGAGACCTTCTTTGTCAAAAAGGGCTGAAGATGCCCTAACAGCTATAGACATCAGTATCAGGTGGGCAGAGGAGAACAAAGCTTCAGACAAATCCTGAACAAGATGATTATGTGAAGAAGAAGAGACCTTCTTTAGTCCTACAAAAAGCTCAATGAAGGCTGAAGATGCCTTAACAGCTATAGATATCAGTATGAGTGCAGAGGAGAACAATGCTTCATGCAATTCACTACTGACTGTTTCTTTACCGACTGACTTTGAGAAAAATGAGAGACAAGATATTATCAACAAAATATACTATAGCAAGAAGCAAGCTAAAATTGTTTTCGATAAAGCATCATCTTCCTCTTCCGCAACTGAAAGAAAATTAAATTTTTAAAGTAATAATAATAAGATAACATACAAACATATATATTGTCATAAGGTAAAAAACGTTACCAATTTTATTTTAAAAATATATTACGCGACCTTAATTAATATAATCTTTTACTTTAAAATCTATATAAATATTTTATTTCTAATATATATAAACCTTTTGCACATGTAATTTTAATACAAATCCAAAAATCCACCATAAAGAAAAAAATTCGGTGTCGGATTACGGAGCGCCTACTGTATACTGCGAAAATAGTAATTGTGGTAATCTTAAAAAAAAGAAGCACTAATAGTTTTCAACACATTTTTAAAAAAAAAAAAACTTTTAAAAATAAATAAAGATTTGCCATTACATACTCAAGCATAACTAAATTTATAACTTCTTCCAAATAAAAATTATTACATTTACCTTAATTCATGGCATGCTATCACAATGAAACAGGTGTGATTTTATAATCAGCATAATTTTCCTGCTAATGTTCTGCTATTTATAAGGCAACAATTTGAAAAATGAACTTTAATATTATCAATGTTTATAAATGATGTCAAACTGTTACTACTATTAATATTAAATCACAAATTTGTTATGAAAGGCACTAAAGAGGGTACTTAACATTAATGACTAACTTATGACAACTTAATAGATATGGAATGAAGATCACAAAGCTCATAAAAAACAAAATTTTGGTAAAATACGCTAGAAAATTATTTGACTAAAAAAACTATACCATTTTTATTTTTATCTCAAGGTATATAGATATATAAAGTAACTTATTATTTCGAAAGAATTACTTTTTAAAATTTAACTTTAGCTCTATTTTTCACACCTTTTTAAGAATTTAAAGTTTGCTATGAGCTACCTTAAGGTCTACACTTAATTTCATGACAGGACTGTACAATCACATCTCAAAAATGTATCATGCAAATTTTACTTTTTCTCTGGTGGAGTTGACTTCTTTCTTCTAAATAGTAAGATATGGGGTTCTGAAACAATTTTAAAAGTTAATTTCACTTTCATTAAATAGTATGAAGAGGGCTCAGATAATCATTATGAAATAAGTAAAATAATAATAATAATAAGTAAAATCTGAAAAGAAATATTTGTGTAGTCATTTCATTACAGCCTTTCAAAATTCTCTGCTAAACGTACGCCTCCCACATACATTGACAGGAAAACAGTGCTGTCCATCTCCTGTTTCAGCTTCCCATACAAAAATAATCAGAATATCCAGATGTACTGATCTAATGGGTAGTTGTTTACTTCGGCTCATTGCGGATATCATCATTACGAATTCTATCACACAATGATACACCGAGCATAGCCCTCTCCATAGCTTTTAAGATTGTAACCTTAAGCTTCAACATACTACAAACAATGAAGGATCATATCTTAGATTTATATTATGTTATCACTGGCTGTGTTATCTGTATGTGGACATGCTTTGTTGCCTAGACAGTAGGACCAGGGTAATCGACATAACAGATCACATAGCTCAACACATCAATAAGCTGAAGTAGCAATGGTCCCACAATAAAGCTGGACAAACAGCAGCCTTGTCCAAGCAGAGTGTAGGACTGCCCAACACTAGATGATATGAAAACTTGGAAGATATGCCGGAAGTCAATAGATGCAGGTGAGGGAGGCCTTTGTTCAGCAGTGGTGGGTTTGTGAAGTGCTGTAACAATGATGACCCAGATGTAGTCAAATATTCTGACTGAATAATATAGCAACAATTTTATTGCATGCTAGTATATTTACAAATTATTAGGGCGACAGCAATACCCTTTAAAAAAAAATTTCTGCCCTCCTGTCCCAAGTTCCGAGTTCCCAAGTCCCGAGCTCGCTTCGCTCGCTCTTACCTTAATAAAACACCAAGGTTTAATTTTATAATTACTTTAAATAATAAAGATAATTTATAGCTACCACTATTTGTTAAAAAAGGATTCAGAGGGGTAGCGAAGTCTTCGAAAAACAGGTGGAGGCAAATAAAAATGTTAGGGAGCACATTCACGTAAACTCGGAGGCATTGGAGTGACTGCTGGAAAGTATCCGGAACATTGGGTATTAAAAAAAATTAAACCCAATAAAATCCATAAAAGTAGTTTAATGAATGTGTAGTGTTCGCGTAAAATAAGAAATCATTATGTAAATCTGAAGAAGATTATAAAACAGAGGGGGCCACAGACCTATGCTTTAAAGCAGTATTTGAGGGAGGCTTCACCAATTGTATTAGTATTATTATTATTTCAGTACAATACAATAAATGAACTTTTACAATTCCTCACCAGGTTTATGTGTCATATAGTGTACCCAGCCTGGGCTTTGCTGCACTCCAATGCTACGCCATTCCTTCTCAGACATAAGATGATTTTTTGGCACCAATTTTACCATTTCCTTAGGTAGTACAACATGTCTGCAAATAAATATTAAGAAAATAATAAACAAATATGAAAATTGTGAGGTTCATATAAAGGGTATGTTCCGAAATACAACCGATTAATAACCGATATAATGACGTCATTGGCATTCACCAATGTACTGGGTTGTATTTCAGAACATACCCATAATGTAGGTACTAAAAGATCAAATTTATGTGTATATTACATAAATTTTAATAGTTAATCTACTTAGGGGTTCCAAAACCAATATAAACACAGATAGTACACATTATTTCACACTTGGAGAACAAGAGGTTCCCAACTAAGGGCTTTTGTGATGTCTGACCTATTTCTATAACCTACTTTTATAATTTATTCATAATATTACTTTTTATATAATTTAGGTGACAAGTCACCAACTGCCATCTTTTAGCCATTGAGGCATGATAATGGGAAGTGTCACAAGTCTCTCCTTAATAGTCCTGTATCCCAACCCATCGAGTATCCTCATAGGCAATTATTATTTCTTTCCACCTTTTTTCCCAATAGTTTGTGTATGATCTGAGGCTCTTCTTAAGACATATTTTTATTATGTATGCGAAGAGAAGCCTGCAACATACACCAAAATGTAGTAACTTTTCAAAAGGCCTCTACATGTTGGACCCATATTAAATGACTCAACAGACCCGAGACAAAAAGTGGACATACAAAATAAGAATGTTTTATTCTATGTTTAATGTAAAAATACTATTTTTGAAATATAATACATTTAACGGATATTCAATTTGATATGGATTATGGAAAATAAACATTACCACACACTGAATACCAATTGACAACTTCCTAGCTGTAAATATTAAATGTTATTATTATAATAAATAACTTTGTTAATAAATGTTGTTATACAAGATGTGGTCCTTCCTGCTGGCTGTATGAGGATGCTCAAAGTTGTTCAGCGAGTTATGGAGATGGCTATGCTCGGAGTTTCTCTGTGTGATAAACTTAGAAATGAAGATATCCGCAGTAGAACCAGAGTGACCGACATAGCCCAACAGATTAGTAAGCTGAAGTGGCAATGGGCCAGCCATATAGCTTGAAGAACTGACAACAGTTGGGGAAATAAGGTTCTCGAGTGGCAGCCTCGTACCGGTAGACGAAGTGTAGGACGACCACCACTAGATGGAGTGACATTCTGGTAAGACATGCAGGAAGTCGATGGATGCAGGTGGCTAAGGACTGTGCTTTGTGGCATAACTTGGGGGAGGCCTATGTTCAGCAGTGGACTTGTGAAGGGCTATAATGATGATGATGATGATATGTAGAACTACATTTTTGTCTCAATTTATTCGTGACATATCAACCGTTCAGTTTGTATTTATCATGGGAGTCATATTATCAAGGGTTACAGGAAAAACATAATATTAATAAGTTCATTAGTGGAGTCATGATAATATATTTACGGAAAATATAAATTACCTGTACTCATATTCTTCATCATAATATTTATCGGAATAGTATATTTCTCTCCCAAGCATTGACTCAAATAGTTTTTTTGTCATTTTGTAAGTGTTTAACAGTTTAACAATTACCATAAAATTCTGAACAATATAACATAACAAGCTTTCATAAACTTTCCAGATTCGTAATTCCGACACAATTCAATAAAACAAAGAATGCGCAAAACGTTATAACACTATCGAATTTGAAAATTCGAATTCAATCAATTTTCAACTCAATCCAAACCACAAACTATAAAGTTGTACATCATTGGGTGCGTTTGGCAGAAAAAAGCGCTAGCAAGCGCTTGTAAGCAAAATGGCGATCGTAAGCGGTAAGCGCTGTCAAATCGTAAGTAGCTATTTTCCTCCGGGACACGATGTTAGTTTTAACCGAAGAATCTAACCTAATTTAAATATATGTTTGTAAAGTATTCAAATTAAAAACTTACCAATCATGAATTTTTAATAACATGTATATGTTTATTCATGTCATTATATTACTTAAAACTAATATTGCACAAAACAACTTATAAACTGTACTTCAAAACAAACAAATTAAATAAGCAAAATGGCGGATTATGTCAGCGCTACTGAAGTAGCAATCGTGTCCTGGCCGAAAACGATTTTAGCGCTTATAAGCGCTTGCTAGCGCTTTTTTCTGCCAAACGCACCCATAGATTACTGACTATGTACTAGAGATGATCAGTGTTGCTAAAGTCTCGCTTCACAAACTAATAAGAGTATAATTGCCGACATAAGTCGTGAGCACACTTTTTATTGGTCGATACGACGTTGACCACGCTGACGTTCAACGTGATTGGTTTATCAATCGATTCTCGTCGTCTAT